TTTTTTTGAAAAAATAAGTTTTAGTTTTAAGTTTTTTAAAAAAGGTTTCAATTTGGTTTGAAAAAATAGTTTTAACTTTAAGAAATGTTTTAATTTAAAAAATAGTTTAAATTTTAAGAAGTGTTTTAATTAAAAAATGTGGTTTTATTTTTAAAATATGTTTGGATTAAAAAATGTGGTTTTAATTTTAAAATATGATTTTAATGCCAAGTTTCAAAAGATTGTTTAATAATAAAAAATGGCTTTAATTTAAAAATATTTTATCAATCTAATTAAACTAAATTATAAAAATTAAAAAATATGAATTATAGTTTTAACAATTCTAACTATACTAAGTTATAAAATTATAAAATAATAATAATAATAATAATAATAATAATAATAATAATAATAATAATAATAATAATAATAATAATAATAATAATAATAAAATAAAAAAGAAAAAGAAAAAAACAAAAGAAATAAATTGGGGGAGGGGGACGGTTATCATGATCTGAACATTTTAGGGTTTTGGACAACCTTCTTCTCCCTCTTTGACCCGTGGCGCCTCCATTGTTGTTCCTTGAAGCATTTTCTTTCCATTTCTTTTGCATGTTTCGCCCACCGTTTCTTCTTCTGCTGATATGGCGAATATGGTGGCTCAAACGATGATAATGTTGAGTATCCTCACGTCTGAGCTCGCCTGGGCTTGGGTTTGATGATGATGAACTCGTGATGTTCCTCTTTGATGATGAGCTCTTTTCTTTCTTCTGATGAACTTCTTTTTATTATTTTCTGGGTTTTTCGCTGCCTCTTCTTATTTCGTTTCGCTGATGAACTGATGCCCCCTTGTTCTTGATTGTGATGATCTCTTATATTGACGCTTTCATGGGCCTGGATCCTCTTTGTTGCGATTTTTCTGGTGATTTATTTTGTTGGCTTGGTTGTTATTGGAATTTCTGTGTTTTTGATGATGATTTGGTCTTTATGGTTTTAATTTTTCAGGAACTTGTTGCTTGCGTTTTGGTTGTTGGATGGGTTTGTTGCGATTTTGGAGGCTTATTGGTTGTGTTTTTTCAGGAAACCTTGCTTGATTGTTGCTGAACTTTTGGGGAAATTTATTGTTGTTGGCTTTGAGTTTGTTTGCAGGATTTTTAGGAAAGTTGTTACGCGTTTGGTTTGATCTTATTTTGGTTGTTGCGGTTTGCGAAAATTGTTGTTGGCTGGATTGGATCTGGATATCCATTTCCTTGTTTGGATTTGGATATCCACTTTTCTTGGTGGATTTTGGATACCCATTTTGATTCCTTGGATTGGTTGGATTTCCTTATGCTTTGTTTGGCCTTGAATGCAAAAATCCATTTTTTGAAAAAACGCTTTTCCAAAAATCACCCACTCTCTCTCTCTCTCCCTCTCTCGGGAAAAAAATCGAACAAATGTTGCTGGGTCCGTGCAGAGGTCGGAAAATAAAAAGTCGGGAGCTGGCGACGACCTTGTCGTTGTTGCCCTCCCGACATACCCGATGATGAATTTTAACTGAGGGTATCGGAATACAAACAAAACCATTTATGATTAATTATAACCCGTTGATCATTATTTTTCTCTGTTGTCGGTATTTTTGCAGGTACGAAAAAAGTCGAAGATTGAAGATGGGCGCAGAGACAAACTTGGAAAAATAAAAAATTTTAGGACTTAGAAATTAATTTTGTAATTGTAATTTCCTTTGCATCCTTTGTAATAAAAAAATATAGAACTTAAATAAATAAATTCCATTTTTCTTAATAATCTGAATTTAATTCCTGATCAAATTTCTCTGCGTAAGTTCATCTGATTAAATTCATCTGATTAAAGATCATCCGATTAAATTTATCTAATTAAACTCCTCCAAATAAATTCGTCTGATTAAATTCATCTAATTAAAATTATTTGATTAAGCTTTGACGTTCCAAAGTCCGAATTCGACAATTAATCATCTTGCACGATTTAAATCTGACGTAACTGCTGAGTTCAAACAAATCCATTTGCAAGTTAATTCGTACCCGATAATAAAGTTAGTGAATATGACCTTGAATGGATAAGCAAAGAAATTCGACGAAACAAACTGTCTTCCGCATTGAAAATTCAAATTGCATCTCGAATGATTTAACTCGGTAACCTGAATCAGCTCGACTAATAATCATGATCACCCACAGATATTCACTGTAGATTAACGCGAACTGAAATCCCACCGTTCCTTTAAAATCGCCTGGTAACTAGCAGGAAGCAGGAAAACGTGTGTCTGTCCGAACAAATTCCGCAAAACAAATTCTCACACCGATTTAACCTGAATCCACTTATATTGCAACACACCCAGCTTCATACAGTTTATGAATCAACAAGCACTTCTGAAATCCAACTAACGACTTAATTTCGGCTCTTGAATAAAATGTATTATGTCACGAGAAACCTGACATCAATATTGTTGTAACATTCAGCTCATCCTCAAATAAGAATTGCACGACTCGGAGATTGAAACCCTAATCGCTTGAAGAGTTCTTGATGACGACCCCGCTTTATAAATTGTTAGTAGACCGCAAATCAATGATCCTTTTTCCTTTCATAAATTAAATCGTACACAACAGAATTTTCCTGCAAAAACTAACAGACTGGGCAAACCGGTTAGCGGTTAGATAAAATGCAATGCATAATGAAATGAAATGCAAAATGAACCTAATAATCTAAGGGTAAAATTTAGGGTATGACATGTTGTTACCTGTTTTGAGGTTGCAAGTTCCAAATAGACTGATGATCTATCTTTGTCACGATGATTCTCCCACAAGAATTTCGTTTAATGTATCAAGATTTCACCATCATTAGGACCAACTTGACGACGAAAGTACTCATTCATCTTGAAGTTCTCACTAACCCTATAAGTAGATGTCAAATATTTGAACTCGAAATCAGCATTATAGTAAGAACTATAACAAACATCATACTTGTCAAAATGAATTTAAAAATGTTCATCAAAATAACACAACTCAAAAACTAAGATCTGGTTCTATTCACATAGAATCAAAGTATATTCAAATTAAACAAAAACCTAAAAAAAATTCCAACTTCACCATCATCAATTCCAAGTTCTAAAGCAAATCATCATTATTATGAGATATGATCTTGACGGATGATCAGAACCTGAAGTAGGACAAAGACTTCGTCTGCGATGCTGAAATCAAGGAGGAAATGATGTACGTGCAAGACACTCTGATGTTAAAGTAAGAATTGGGAGAAGAGAAGACAAGTACAAAGTAAGCGTTTCTTAGGGCGATTATTCGATTGAATATTGAATACTTGACCCTCACAAAGGAGATGGTTTTATAATGCCCCCAGCACTTGGTCATTGGTCCCTATTTTCGGGGCGAGATATTCGCGTCCCCAAGAATAGGTAACTACCAGAAACTAGTCGTTGAGACGGGAAGACATGCTCAGAACTAGTGATTGCTACGAGCATAGACGTGGTTCCGGGCAAGGGCGTCGTGGTCGTTCCTGGATGGATGAACTGTGCGTGACAGACAACTATGTAACAGAGATCAGCTAATTCAGGGGGTCAGCTGACCAAGTCTCCTCGGTTGAGGGGCAAAAGAGAAAGTGTTTTCCTTCGCCCTCAATTGGCAAGCTTTAGGCTATTGGACTGTTTTTGGTGCAGAAGTGGACTGGGTTATGTCTAACCATTGAGTCAGTCCTGAACAAGATCTAACTTCACAACCATCAACTTCAAATCCCGATAGAGCAGACAAAATTTACACATATACTCTCTTCATCCATTTCGTGTTTAAAAACGATTTCAAACAAGCAAACATGAAATAAAGGCGACTCGATAAAGTTAGTAGTCAACAGAAAATTTTACCTCAAACCAAATGACAAGATGTTGAATCTGGATGAAGGAAACAAACTCGTTCTACAAACTGAAAAACAATGACGAGAGAGAAGGGATAATGATGGTGTGAGGAGAGAGGGAAAAATACTCTAATGCTTTCAAATGAGAAGGGAGGGTGTTGGTATGTCATAAATACCCATTGAATGAGCAATTGTCGCCATGTGGGAAAAGACATGTATGCGATTGGTCAATTAATTTTGATCTAGTTAACTACGTAAAAGGACATATTTTAGTGTAAAGTAGTATTGAGTTAAAGGATAATTTAGAGTGTGGTTAAGCATGTAACATTCTTAGTTAAGCACAAATGTATCAAAACAATTGTTTCATTTATCTCTATTAGACTCACATGAATAGTCATTTATAAAAATTATACTTTTATTATTTATATTGTTTAGTTTAATTTTAGATATATCAATTAAATTATATATTATATTTATGGAATAAATATGTTTTTTTTTCTTAATATACAAATCCTAATAATCTGTGCATGAATGGACTTGACATGGATGAGGGTATTCAAGAATTCACGTAACACTAAGGAGAAAATGGAAGGAGGTCAGTTGAATAGTGAAACATGTTCAATGGTAGAAAAATTATTTATCTCATTTCATACAACTTAACAAATAAAAAATGTTATAATCTCACAATCTAACAAGAAAAAATTGTTGACAGAAAATTTTAGAACAACCGACAAAAACGTATTTAACCCTAAACATATTTAATTTCTATAATATATTATTTATTCTATACTTACAAATAATTAACGTCAACATTTGTCATAAATTTTGCACGGTGTTTGACTAATTGTTGTGTTTGAAAAAACTAACTTTTAAATTTATAAAAAGTAAACATAGAATTTACAAAATAAAATTTCCACACATTTGAATTCTTAACTTGTGTTCTAATGAAATTTTACAACATAAATTTTCCTTAGTTAAACTTAAAACAATTATAATGAACTTTTACACAACATGATACATAGCAGAGCATAAAATAGTCTTGGATGCGAAAACATATGGGGCAATAACACAGTAACACCTCGCCAGATAATAAATTACATACAACAAATAGGCACATAATAGAAATATACAAAGTGTTTAGCAGCAAACTACATAATCAACTCTTCAACATCTTCAGCATCATCCATTTCTTCATCATCTGTATTAACATCAGCTTCAAGAAGCCACTGCTCAAACTCATCCACCTCATCATAATCATGTGTATATAAACCATCAGACATATCACACGGGTCGGGCCCAAGCTCCTCACCGTCGCATGCTACATACAAGAAAGGCCTACTTCTAGCTAATGCGTCTACCATGTCTCTATTAACACTTCCAGTCACTCCTAACCATTTAAGCCTTGGAAAATATGGTTTCTTTAACCAACGAAAAGCAAGTGGCGTAATGCCACCACAGTTATATAAATCCAACAAGCGCAAACCACTTTCATGCCATCCAGCATCATCTGTCATCATTGAAGCTAACGCCATGATCGAGGTATCACCAATTAAAGGGCATTGTCGCATTCGAAGATCCAGAAATGGAATTCGACTTTTTGCCAGCTGCAGAACTCCATTATCTGAGAGGTTAGGAAGGTTGGATATATCCAAGTCTCTTAATTCCAGCTTGCCACAACCATCAAATAAAATTGTTATGCATTTATCGGTGAGTCTCTTGCATCCTCGGAGAGACAATGCATATAGTGAATTTATAACAGTTGGCCGTAAGTATGAAAGTCCAGCATCAGTTATATCAGAGCCATCTATTAGCAAAATTTTCAGTTTCAGAAGTACACCAATGGCTCGGAGAGCTTCATCCCCAAGGCTCCTACAATCTCTCAAGTCGAGAACTTTAAGTTCTCTGTTTGATGTCAAACTAAGAACTGCATGATTGGTTAATAGCTTGCACCATCTTAAGCTCACATGTGTTAAAGTAAGGGATGTTGCAGAGATATCATGAAAAACTAGATCAGATAATTGAGTCCCGTGAGTGACCTTAAGTTTATATAGACGAGAGCAAGAATGCAGGAGAGTTTTGATTCCAGTGTCTGTGACACGACAAAAACCGCCAAGACATATACTCTCCATGTTTGCACACTTGTCAGCCATTAAAAGTAATCCTAGATCGTTAACTCTTCGAAAGTAACAAATTATGAACTCTTGGCTTCGGATCAATGATAAATGTTTCAATCTCCCAAGTTGATTAATTTGCTGAAGACCAGCGTTGGTTAGATCAAATGTAATTCTCGGTTCAACAAATGGTGCATCACGAAGATCCAAATGAGTCAAAAAGACGAGACCTTTGGATATTGTGGCAACCATGGCATCCGTTATATAGTTCACCGAAAGACATAATTTTAGAATTCCTGGAAGTATTGATGGTTGGATAGGATTAGGTGGCTGATGAGATCCCAAATTTGAGCTGAACAGTTCAATCACCGTTACTGAAGAAATGTATCCAATCTCAAGAGAAGTAAGTTTCTCAGAGGCAGAAGCCCAAACTCGAGCTAAGTTTTGACGTAGAAAGAGAGAGACGTCAAACATCAGAATCAAAACCTACAAAATCAACCATAATACACATTAGATCTAGTTGCATTAATATCTACTAAACATATCATCATTATATTTTGCAACAGAAAAAATTCAAAGAAAAGTAAAAAACTTAAAGAAAGTGCGTGAGGAAACTTTGAAGACGAGGTAATTATTATGATAATTATTAAGGTGTTATAGTAAAAACAATCATTCTACTAGAAATGTCGTTACCCAAGTCTTGGCATTTCCTTTGTTCTACATAAAAGTTAATGATCAATTGAATTTTTGAAGCTCAGTGAATGTACGTCCAAACAAGAATAAATTTATGTGGAGAACACAATGATGAATTAGGCCAAACAAAGTCAATTCCTAGTATAGAAGCTTTTACCATAGCAAGTAAAACTTATCATCGGTTAAGGGTGATAAACGTCGATAAAAGTAAAGTCAAGCACAAGATCAATGAAGATTAATAAATGCAACCAAAATATACATATTAAGACCATAGCATTTATAATGTAAAAAGGATAATACCAAACAGTAGATCAATTTGTGACCTATGAATGTTATTATTCATTAGTAATCTTGAAGGAATATGAAAGCTTTAAATTTCATTAATATATCTTGTATACTATGAAGCAAGCCGGACACCTCTAAGAATAGACTTCTAAGAGTAGGCATGCCGCGGACACGCGTCGATGTCCGACACTTGTATGACACATGTTGGAGAAGTCAAACAAGTGCCCCCCAATATTGGTTTTTTTTTCTTTGTTTCGAGTTAAGACACTCATTGAATCAATCAGTGTCCGACACCCATATGACACTCCATACCAGGTGTCGGACAATTCAAAAGTGTTTCAAAAAAATGTTTTTTTCCTTTGCTTAACACATTTTATACAGTTTTTGGACAAATCTCTTACACATCTAAAAATCCCTTACATATCTAAAAGGGTTAAACATATATTGCATCAATGCAAAATTAAAGACATCAATTTTAATTATAAGATTTTTAACTTCTTTAATAATAGATGAATAAACGGATGTTAAATACTACTCTCTCTGTTTCAAAATGACTGGAGAAAATTTTTATTTTAAAATGAATGTCATTCTCACTTTTCAATGTAGTAATAATTGTTATTTTTATAATTATGTCGTATAATTATTACTCTGTACACTATTTCCAACACATTAATAAGACTAATTTAGTAAAAATACACTATCTTATGACAATATTAGTGCATTTCTTAATCTGTGTTCAAAAACGTTAAACGAGTTATTTTGAAACGGAGGAAGTATCATATATGTAGCAGTGTCATTATCCTCGGCATCCTATGTTTTTTTACGTAATCAGTGTTAGAGTGTATGTGTCGTGTCCCGGTGTCTGTGATTCATAGCTTTTATATCTTACAAACTTGTTATTTCTGTTAATTGTTAGCATGTCTTACTTCCAACTGGGAGCAACCAGTGAGTAACTCCTCCAGATCAGATATGTGAATTGCCCTCCCTCTTTTCTCTGCAACTGAACCCAAGTAAAGAGACCTATGAAAATAAACGATACTATTAAGAACACCACTAAGCTATGTGATTGTGAATTAACCAATCAATCCCCAAACAAAATGATTTCATAATTGATATTACTAAAATATCGATAGATCCATACTTGGAATATGTAATTCATCATTAATTATCACCAAACAAACCTTAGGTCCTTGCATCGAGCACCGATCTCAGAGAGAAGTTTCCCGCTAAAATCAGAACAATTGAACAAAGAAAGCTCGTGCAATGATGGTTTCACCAAATAAGAAATCGCGGAATCATCGAGACGGTCACAATCAACTTTGAGGCTCTTCATGTAAGGATTAGGCGGCAGCAAGGGTGTGAGCAGGTCACCAGAAGGCGCAATATCCTGGAAAAAAAACACAAACAATGTGAGATTCGGGAAATTCGAAACCCTAGAAAGTGAGATCGATTTGATTCGATGGATGGATAGAGTTACGATGAGATGGAAATTGGGGAGGAAGGAGAGGATGTGTTTGGCGCAGGAGCGGAAGGTGGAGCAAGTGGAGGATAATGAACAGATGGAAGCGATGTCGAGTTTGGTCATGATGGTGGCGAGTAGAGCGTAAGGGAGTTGATCTAGCCTCGCCTCCGTTGCAGTCGCCATTTCTGGATTAGATCAGATCGAATCTGTTACGGTTGTTGTGTTGAAGCTTGAAGACCATGATCTTCACGAAGTCTTGTTTTTTTTTCTGTTTTTTGGGATTGACTGTCACGAAGTTGTTGGGCTAAACGTAAATGGGGCCTTTGGATTAACCTATCATCTCAAATGAGGATTTCTTATCCCATCCATGGACTTTTTTAGCCATTTTACAAATTTTCTTTTATATTTTTTATTTTCGGAGATACATATCTGCACATTTTTTTTTTTTTAAATTTGGTTGTTTTCGGAGTTACATCTACACAAACATATTTTTTTATTGGTATACACTGAAAAAACTTCAAAATAAATCTGAAACGTCTGAGCGGCAGATTATTTCGTAGATACAACTTCAGAAGTTTCTGTTATATTTTAAACTTGCATGATCACACCCTCATTGTTGTCTTTTCTTCTTCCATACTCATTTCATCAGCTTAAAAAACCATATACTATCAATATTATTTTCACTCCAAAACTCCAACTTTTCCGTGCAACAAATCACAGGGAGTAAGTGAAGATAGAGTTTCTGGTAAAAATTCTCTTTTGTCTACTACATTGCTCAAATTAATCATCAATCTCTTGGGAAAAAATTGACGTTACTTTCAAAGTTATACCTCCGGAACGTGTTGAAGATGAACACTTCTGGATGTACATCTCCGGAACATCTCTGTTTGTTTTCCAGCAATTTTGTAATTTTTGCTTATTTTCCTTATTGTTTACAAATAAATATGGTGCACCCAGATAACATCTCAAAAGAGTTAGTTTCTTTAAACGATGTTTCTCTGAATGTTTAAGGGGTTGTCGTACAGTCGGTAGATGTTAGCGTTGACTTTAATAACAAATAAGAGTTTGATGATCGTGAAAGCATGCTCACATGGATTCGTAGGACTGCAAGAATGCTTGATTTTGGTGTGGTTATAAGAAGATTGGATAATGGTTCGGAAAGAAGAAACGCTTTTGTTACTTTGTTGTGCGAAAGAAACAGTAAATATCAAATTTCTCTCCGAAAATTTAAGAGAGAAAACACGGGTGGTAGAAAATGGGAGTGTCCGTTTAAGCTTCATGGTAACATGTTGAGTAGAAAAAAGTGGAAAATTAGTTTTATTTGTGGTTTGTATAACTATGATATGTGCTAAAAGTTACAAGGTCATCCTAGTGTGTGTCGACTCGAGCCGGAAGAGAAGACATGTATTAGTGACATGACCTTGAATCTTGTCCAACCAAAAAATATACTTGCCATATTGAAACGGAAGGAACCCGATGATATATCAAATATAAGACAAGTGTATAACATTCGGTACCGCACCAACAAAGCGATTAGGAGAGATATAAGTGAGATGCAACAACTGTTGAAATTGTTAGATGATAACAATTGTTGATTTTATTGTTGCAATGTTGATTTTATGATATTCTGAGGTTTTTTACGTAAATATGAATAAGGAAGTCTTTCGTAGATGCATCTACGAAATAAAATAAAATAAAACTGAAAAAGGTGTGTCTTGAGATACATGTGCGGAAGCAGAGGGCATTTTTAAAAACGCACATGGTGCGTAAGAACCCCAAAGGGTTAGGTAAGAAATTCTCTCCCAAATTAGATAATTTTGAGGAAGTAACCTGACACCCCAGTTAGATCTCACATTCCCTAATATATATGAAAAGATAATATTGATTATGTAGTTTTATTTTTAAAATTTTTGAAATTCACATTTCAAGCATAATTGAAATCTTTGGAGCGATATTGGAAATTTCGTTGTAATTATCGAAAATTTCAAAAGCAGTGAGTTTATTTCCGTAATATTAAATTTTTTTGATATTTTGTACCGGAAATTTCAACATTTCTGGTATTTACCATGAAATATGTACCAAAAATTATGGTATATTCCATAGTTTCAATATCGGAAATTTCAAAATTTCTAGTACATATCCCATTCTCTATACCAGAAATTTCAAAATTTTCTAATAGTTATAAAACATGGTTTTATACTGAAAATTTTTGAAATTTCTGGTAGTTGCCAATATTTTTTTTTAATTTTGATTTTTCTTCTTTTGTAGTGAAATTCATAGGCAAAGACGACACCGTTGCAGGGAGAGCTGTTGATCGAGCGATAAATCAGAGTATGGCTGTCAGGGGTCCTCATGATGAGTCTTCCTAATTACGGCCATGACAAGTGGCCCTAACCGGTTCACATCATAAGTAGTTGGCTAAGCAGAGTCAGTTTCGGGCACATTGTTGCACTCGACACCGACTGGTTCGATCAGTAGAGCAGTCTACAAATAAGGTAATTCTAGATGCTACTGTATATAATCTTTTGGATCATCTGGTGGTTGATCAGGTTGTTGATATAATTGTTTAGCTGGTGGTTGGGTCGGTGGTTAATCTAGTTACTGAGGAGGTTGGTTTGAAGGAGGTTGCTCTGATGGTGCAACCAGATGTTGTTGTTGTTAAGTCGGTCCCATCGGGTACTACTGACACGAAGATTATGGCTCCTTCGACTAAGCCCTTTGTGCACGCAGATGGAGGATTCCGTGAAGGACTCATCTACCTGTCAGTGCTTACAAAATATGCTAAGCATGCGGCCTTATGACTATGGTAGAGTGAGGTATATGTCTTTTATGTTTAACTTTAAATTTGTTTTTATATATATATATATATATATATATATATATATATATATATATATATATATATATATATATATATATATATATATATATATATCACATGAGGTATCAACTAATTTGTTTATATTTTGTTGTCACACGAGCGACTCACACTGAAGGTGTCACACGGGTCAAAGATGAAGGACTTCCCAAAGATTTTGATGCCTGAGCAGATCAGTCGGATTATACGGGACTTCCTGTTGCTTAATTTTGCCCACTGCTCCTTCACCATGTTCGACACTTTACTACTCAGTGTGTTTGTTGAAAGGTGGCATAAGGAGAAATCATAATTTCATCTTCCGTACAGGGAGATGGCTATCAGTCTGAATGATGTCTCTACATTGTTCCATCTCCCCATCGGCGAAAAATTCTAGACGACTATCGTTTTTAGCATGACCTTCGTATATTAGGTTGTTGTAGAAGATTTGGGATTATTTGAGGCAGAGGTGCATACGGGGTTTGGCGATACTAGAGGCACACACATTCGTATGTCTTGGCTTTGAAAGACATATGATCAACTTGTAGCTGCTGGGAGGTATGAGGTTGTCGTTAGGGCGTACGCGCTACATACAGTAACATGTATTATCTTTGTGGACAAGTCTGATGTTTATATTGATGCCTGATACACGTGCCTCTTACGTAGCCTCAAGGACATCAATTGAGCTTGGGGTGTTGCATTGACCCAATTGTATACAACTTTTAGAGTGGCGACGGTCTTTGAGACCATATAACTTGCGGGTTATTTGAGTATGTTCCGTATACTTCTGTTGACTTTTCACTGTCTGATACCATAATGTTTTCCCGTGTGTATTGTATATATGTTACTTGTTTTTACATGATCCTTTTCCATGTATCTCTGTTGGTTTTTCATTATTTTATTACCATGATGCTTTGCCATGTGTATTTTGTGACTTCTTATCTGTCTGAGCATACATGATACTTTTCCGTGTATTGTGCATGTGCCTTTATCTGCTTGTCTTTACATGATGTTCTTCCATGTATCTTTTGCTTTATTTTTATCCTTGTTGACCTAATCCAAGGGAATGAATTGTATGTTAACTTATTGTCACTATGCATGTCCCATTGTTTATTTGTCTTTGTTGTTGTTCTTGGTTTTTAGAACCAAACAACTCGTGGTTCCACAAACTATAGACGCTCTGATTTCTCAAGTTCCTCTTGAGAATGCATAGGCACAAGGCCCCGATCCTTGGCGAGCAACTTTTTATTTTTTTACACTCTTCCCCTTTTCTCCCCTTTTTATCGTAGTTCTGAACTACGATTGCTCTAATTTCCTATTTACGATATGTAGGCACACGATTGCGAGATCCTAGCGAGTTACTTTTTTATTTTTCTACCTTTTTCTTTTTCCTCATTTTCTCTTTTTTTTACCCATCCTTACCTTTAGCAAACAATTTTAGCCAAAACACAGATATTTCAAGAGATTCTTGTAGAGTACTGCAAATACTTTAGGTGCTAGTGCATTTCCTTAGCATAACCAACCCCATTACCTTTAATATTTTTTGCTTAGCTTTAGACCTTGTTTTTTGCTTTGCATTTTACTTAGGGTTTTTGTTTGATCTTTTCTCCACTCCCTTGGATAAAATAAAAGTTCGGTGGTGACATCATTGTTTTGTGAGCCAAGCTGATCATATAGCTTTGGGATCCGATTTTCACTGCGATACAATGAAATCAAAATAAAATATTAATGATAATTAGGCTCCTACTACAAATACTATGAACTACTACGTATGACAGGCCAGGCCCCCCTATTCCTACGTCGCCTCTTTTATTGCAGTGCCTCCCCCATCATGGCATATAGAACGCCCTTACCTTATAACCAATCAGAAAAATCCCTCTATCTATACCCACCAATCTAATTTCCATGTTACGATGACATCTAAGAAACACATAAACAACATGATCTGCCCTAGTATACTCCTCCTCTAGGATTTCTTGATGAGTTGACCAAAGTGGATCTCCTAGAGCATCATGTGTAATATAATAATGTGACACCCTGAAAAACCATTGGATGTAGTCGTGTACAAGTCTCTGGTTGCTAAGAGTTATGGTACTTTGTGACTCCTCTAGCACTATATGATTAAGATAATCATTAAATATAGTATCCATATCTTTAAGTGTTGTACCATGTTGGAATTGCATGTCCGGATTCTAGAAATCAAAATGTTGGAAAATTTTGGAGATGCATCTCCTTAAGGTTCTACAACGTAAAATGACGCTAACGGTGGAAATGCAGTCCATCTAAAAACCAAAAATAATGTATTGATCATTAAAACTACCTATCAAACATGTTGCTAATGTAAATAACGTATATAAACTACCTATTGCATAACCTAATCGTCAATTTCTATAAATGTATACAAATAAAAATAAAAATAGAAAAAAAATTATCAAATGTGAGTTTAATTTGATATTGAGTGAACTCTTTAATCGACTTGATGTTTATGGAAGTAGATTTGAAGTACGTTGAATGATTCTGAGAGTTTGAGAGACTTGAGAGTGCGATAAAGTATTTTGAGAAGTGAGAAAGAAGAAAGGGCCTGACGAATTTTTGAGAATGTGATTCAAATTATTTTTGTTATAACTAATTAAAAATAAAAACCCTAAATAATGTAGTATCCACTGGATGTGGTGCATATGTCCAATGAACATGCGTGCATGACATCTGTTATGGACTGACCCAATGGCCAGGCATGACCCAATCCACTTCTGCTCCCATAACAATCCAATTGCCTATGTCCAACCTCTTTGGGGGAAATTTTTTACCTTTCTACCCCTTCAACAGAGGAGACTGACCCATTTATCCTTAGTCACAACACTTCTCCTCGTCAGTCTCTGCCTGTCACGCACAGCTCCACCATCCAGAAGCAGTCGAGACGCTTGTGCCCGTAATTGTATCTCTGCCCGTCATAACGGCTAGTTATGGACACATCTGCCCATCCCAACGACTATTTCTGGCAGTTTCCTATTATACGAGAAACAATTATCTCGCCCCGAAAATAGGAACCAACGGCCAAACACTGGGGGTATTATAAAAACTCTCTCACTTTAGAGGGTCAGATATCCAATTTCTTACCTAGAAACACATATTTTGTATTTGCTCGCTCTCTTGCTCATTTTTTTACTTTAACACCGGAGTGCCTTGCAAGTACACCCCCTCCTCATCTTTCACACCCAATATCACAGACGCTCATCTTTGTCCCATCTCAGATTCTGATCGTTCGGTAAAATCATGTACAACAACAATAGACATGCATTACTTAGGATGGTTACTCCTCATGCAACTACTTTTTTTTTGAGATTTAATTAGTTTGATATTTTATTTTAAATGGTGGTTATTTTAGAAAATTAAATGAAAAAAACTATTAAAAAATTCACTTTTTAACGTGGGACCCACAAGGATTATGATATGACCTGATCAGAAAAGGACCACTGACTAGCCTTATTTTGCTAGATAATCGCCTGTTCACCGGTGTTTGAGAGGAAGATGAGGGGTGTACTTGCAAGACACTCCGATGTCAAAGTGAGAGATTGGACAAAGTGACGACAAGTACAAAAGGGGTAAGAAGAGAATACCTGACCCTTTTGAGGAATAAGGTATTTATAGAGAGTCCCCAGCGTTGGGCCAACGATCATTTGAGTTGGGCTGGGTGGCCAGACCCAACCCAAATGACTGCTAGGGCTTACGTGTCGTAGTGAAAACCGGAACGTGGTCTTCGCCCTAATCCAACCGATTCGTAAACTCCGAAAAGTGGGTTTGATCTGCTCTTCCGGGGGCGGGCGGTTGATAAGTGACGTGTCCCCGCGAAGGGGAGCACGTGGAGAACGTGCGAGAGACACGTTGTTCTGGTCGATAAAGGGGGAATGTTCTGCCCACGGAGAGCTGTGTTTGCCCGACGGGAACCTTATGCTCGACAACGATAGCCCAAGTCAGATTGGACCTTGTCAAACATTAATGGGTTGGATCTGCTCGGCCAAACCGGGACCATGCCAAAACAAATTAATATTTTCTTTCCATCTCACTTTCCAACCAAACCGATCAACCTTTTCCCTTCGGCACTCTTCTTTCCTTCAGCATTCCTATATTCAAACAAAGCATTAATTAAACCACAATAAACATAAACATAGTAATAAATATCTAAATAGTGAAAAATTTGAAAAAACCCAAAGACGAATAAAACTAAGAAACGCAGCGTTTCATCTTATGAGCGCCAAAGAACAGTACAAATTCCATTTTAGCACCGAAACAAAGATGAACCAAAATGCATGGAGTATAGCTAGCTAGTTAGGGTTTGCATTGCCATTTTCGTTTTGAAAAAATCTCCATTCTCCGCATTTCAACTTCTGATGGAAGAGAACAACGATACAGTCTCGTATACTGTGAAAGTAACCGTTACCGTCACCATCACCGACGAAGACGAACTCCTTCCTGATCGAGAAACACAAGCTACTTTGAAAGACAATGGCGATGTTGGAGGAAATGAGCCGGTGGAGAAAGACGGAGAATCGAGTAAACTCGACGACGGTGGAGAAAAGGAAACAGTGGAGAAAGACGGAGAAACGAGGAAGCTCAATGACGTGGCACGTGGAGTAACTTTTACTCCGGCGTTGTTAAACAAAGAGAAGAACAGACGTGGTAGAAAAAGAAAGTTCGATAGTGATGTTTCGAGGAATACTCGAAACAAGAAAGTTATATGCAATGAAGGAGACTCCTCAATGTGCCATCAATGCCAGAGAAATGATAAGGGCAGAGTTGTCAGATGCACTAAATGCAAACGGAAAAGATTTTGCATTCCCTGTATAACTAATTGGTACACTTTGCTTTTATTCTAACCTATCAAACACCGACACCTCTGGAAAGAAGGGGTGTTTATATCGGTGTCAGACTCTGATACTGATACCGACACTTATGATTATTATGATTATGTTTACTTTATTCATTTTTTAAATTATTATAAGTGTTTGCCGTATCAGTGTCATGTTTAGGGTGTCCCTGCCTTATAGTTAATATGACTTGATTATTTGAGCGGATAACTGTTAGTCTTAATGATATATTGAATTCCTTTTGTTATGTCTTGTTAAGGTATCCTAAGTTGACAGAGACTGATGTTGCTAAAGCGTGTCCTGTGTGCTGTGATAACTGCAATTGCAAAGCGTGCTTGCGATCATTTAAACTTATCAATGTTAGTTTACCCCTTCTTCTAGATTACTCTGTATGGATAGACAGCTTATTTGCAGCTTATAGCATAAATGCTTATAAGCGCTTGTGTATGAGCTGTTTCTATAGAAAGCAATAAAATAAAAGTTTAATTGTTTTCGTATAAGCTATAAGTTGTTTTCATAACCTATCTTGAAGGATTCGTGAAAATAACCTGAAAACAACTTATAAACCAAGTCATAAGCTGTTTTAATTAATTCTCCCAAACATTTTCACAAAAGTTAAGCTTATGTCAGTAGATAAGCTCAATGTTAGGGACAGAATATACACTATTAAAGATAGAGCATATGAAGGTAATTAGGATTAATGATGATAAGGAATTCTGCACACTTTATTATAGACGGCAGTTATTAACTCCAAAAGGGCAGTTATGGAAGTTATAACTGTTACAAACTGACACAAACAAAAACTGACAAATAACCACTCCTCTAAGATTAGAGAGCCTAGTATCTCCCAAACCACACCAAATGACAACCGCCGTATTTGTCATCCTTATTCTATTTAAATACGATACACACTACCAGTTACAATTGGGCCTAATTTAATTTGGGCTTGTGTCTGACGTATACATGTCTAATTGGTGGCCTACTAACAATACTCCCCCAAAATTTTCACCTTGTCAGCAAGGTGAAATCGAGGAATTTGCTGATCGATTGAATAGTATGACTCCCAAGAAGCTTCGAACTCCGGTAATTCTTTCCAATGGATCAACACCTGAATATTGCCGGCAGGATTTGTCCGAACAGCCTTGATTGCATCAGGTTCCACTTGCACTTCCAATTCTTCGGCCAAAACAGGAGGTAAAGGTTGCGGCTGTGCTGCTGGTGAGATGGCTTTCTTCAACAGTGAAACATGAAAGAACAAATGAATCCTAGTGTCTTGAGGTAGATCAAGATGGTAAGCAACCTTGCCAATTCGCTCCGTGATCTGATATGACCCATAAAATATGGGGCTGAACTTTTCATTAATTTTTCTTGCTTAAGATTTCATCCTGTAAGGTTGCAATTTGAGGTACACCTAATCACCAACATCGAAGGATATATCACGACAGTGTTTGTTGGCCTGAATCTGCATCTGGTTTTGTGCTTTGACCAAATTAGAACTGAGATCATGTAAGATGGTGTCTCTTTCCTGAGTTAGACGAGTCACTTCTTTTATTGCGGAAGGAACCGTGGTACCTTTTAGTAGTTGAGGAGGGTCACGACCATAAAGAGCTTTGAAAGGAGTCATTTTGGCAGAATCATTGTAATTAGAGTTGAACCAATTTTTTTTCCTTCCTATCCACTTCATTCACATCTTAGGCTTAGCCCCTGTGAGACACTGCAAATAAGTTTCCAAGCACCTGTTTGCATCTTCTGTTTGGCCATCCGTTTGTGGGTGATATGCAATGCTAAATTTCAGTTTGGTACCCGCCATTCGAAAAAGTTCTGGCCAAAAGTGGAAGACTTTGTCTCTATCAGAGACTATAGTATTAGGGAATCCATGAAGTCTAACAATCTCCTGAAGAAATAATTCAGCAATACTCTTAGCTGTAAAAGGATGGGTGAGATGTATAAAATGTGCATATTTCGTAAGTCAGTCTACCACCACCAAATCTAGCATTCCTTCCTCGACTCTTCGGAAGGCCTTCAATAAAATCCATAGAAATATCAGCTCATACCTGTGTAGGGATCGAACGTGGTTGTAAGAGGCCTGTAGGGAATAAAGTTTGATATTTATTTTGTTGGCATACCTCACATGAAGTTACAAAAGTCTTGATGTCTTTTTTCATGCCTTCCCAAAATACCAAAGCTGCAATTCTCTTGTATGTTCTGAGAAATCCAGAATGACCCCCCTACAACAGAACAATGATATTATCGTAATAAAGTTGGATTTTTTGAGGAAGACCTAGGTAACATCCATTTCCCTCTGTACAATAACTTTATGTTTTGGAAGGTGTAGTTGGAATTTTTGAGGAAGACCTAGGTAACACCAATTCCCTTTGTACAATAACTTTATGTTTTGGAAGGTGTATCCTGGATGAGCCTGTGAATTTTATAACAAATCATGGACAATTTTCTGAAGTTTAGCATCAGCATAGAAACATCGTCATAAGTCATCTTTCGTGATAAAGCATCTGCAGCCCCATCGTCCAACCTGGTTTGTATATTATATCAAAATCAAAACCCATGAGTTTGGATGTCCATTTGAATTGATCCTCGCTCAAAACTTGTTGATCCGTCAAAAATTTCAAACTTCTTTGATATGTGTGGATGGTAAAATGGCGTCCCATTAAGTAATGACGCCATTTTTTGACAGCCCTCACAATAGCCATTAACTCTTTCATAAACAGATTTTCGCTGTGCCCTATCCGATAACTGTTGACTCAAAAATGCTACTTGTCTACCTTTTTGCATCAAAACAACAACCAATCCTCTATTAGAACTTAGAAGCATCCGTTTCTATAATAAAAGGTAAGGAAAAGTCAGGTACAGTTATAGTGGGCAAATGAGTGGTGTCTGCCTTCAATATGTCAAATGCTGTTTGTGCTCCAGGATTCAAATGAAAGTTATCCTTTTTAAGCAATTCAGTGAGAGGCCGGGCCAATTTACCATAATCTTTCACAAACCATCTGTAGTAACCAGTGAGTCCCAAAAAACCTCGAAGAGACGTGAGATCTTTGGGTATTGGCCATTAAAGCATTGCTTCAATCTTGTGAGGGTCTGCTGCCACCCCTTTAGCCGAAATTATATGACCCAAGTAATCTAGTTGAGGCTGTCCGAAAGTACACTTTTTAAAATTTGCCACCAATTGATGTTTTTTTTAATAGAGATAGGACAGCCTGAAGGTGGTGTTTGTGATCCTCCAAAGACTTGCTAAAAATCAGGATGTCATAAAAAAATACCAAAGTAAATTTTTGCAAGTAAGGGCGTAACACCTCATTCATCAGGGACTGAAAAGTTGATGGGTTGTTGGTTAGGCCGAAAGGCATAACGAGAAATTCATAATGACCTTCATGTGTCTGGAAAGCCGTTTCCATAATTGAGGAATTAGTTTGTTGAACCAACTAATGAAATTATGAGAGGCTCACAATCAATGAGAACAAGTACTTTATTGTTTGCAATTTCACCCCACAGTTTGATGGTTTTTTTTAGAAGTAAATCCAGAGATGCTAAACATGGAAAGTTGGAGTTTATGAAAATCTCCAGTGATTGTAAGCACATCATAAATTAGTTCCTCGGACATAGGCCCATCTTCCACCAAGAGGATATATAATTGTTTGTGGGGCAGACATGACCATGACCAAATTGTTCATCACAGCGATAGCAAAAACCTGCTATCCTTTTTTGAATTTGTCTTGCATCTCTGCATCAGTGAGCCTTTTGAAAGGTCTGCCACAGTTACAGTTATTAATGTACTGATTGGGGTTGGTTTCATTGGAGGGATGGTTTGTTGAATGTTTTTGGTGGGGTATTTTTGGAATTGGGTTCCCGTGGGATGGTACGGGTGGAAGAATATGGTTTGAAAGTGGGTGTGGGTCTGTTGGTGCCTTTATGCTAATTGGACAGCAGGGTATTTTTCTCATCAATGCGTTGGGCGTAATCCATGAATTCGGGTAACGAACCGACGGGATGAAGTTTCAACTCGGCCTTAATTATGTCCTTCAATCCGTTAAGGAAAATACCTTTCAGATATTCTGGTTCGGTGCTTCGTAGTGGGCCAACATGTAATTCAAATTGTTCACGATATGACTTTACAGAACCAGATTGTTTGAGACTCATCAAAAGTTCATATGAGTTTTGAAGCATTGAAGGCTGAAACCGTTTTGACAAGGCTTCCTTAAATTCACTCCAATGTTGGGTTTGGGGAACAAAATTCCCACCATTGATACCAAGTTAAGGCCTTTCCTTCCATTGCTACCAGAGCTGGTTCCAATGGAAGGAAAGTACCTTTCAGATATTCTGGTTCGGTGCTTCGTAGTGGGCCAACATGTAATTCAAATTGTTCACGATATGACTTTACATAACCAGATTGTTTGAGACTCATCAAAAGTTCATATGAGTTTTGAAGCATTGAAGGCTGAAACCGTTTTGACAAGGCTTCCTTAAATTCACTCCAATGTTGGGTTTGGGGAACAAAATTCCCACCATTGATACCTAGTTAAGGCCTTTCCTTCCATTGCTACCAGGGCTGGTTGCAGTTTCTCTTCATCCAAAACTCCTTTTAAATCGAAATAATGTTCCACCTGGTTGATCCAACCCCGTCATCGCCATCGAAAATTGGAATCGACAGTTTTCGCCTACGTTCCACTTGTGTCCTCTGTTCGAAGCGATACCCACTGCTGGATTTTGCTTGATGATGTGTCCCGTCCCGTGTAACCCGCATGATGATGAGTGCGCAAGGGGCAGATTGCGAACAATTTCGTGCAACTCCTAGACGCGTCGATCTTTTCTGTTTCTAATTGATGACGCATTTCTTGAACTTCGTCACACGTTTTCATGTATTTTTGGTAGGCTCTTTCTAGAAATTCTAACCATGCCTCCATTTTCTGTCGTGTTTGTACCATAGGATCATATGGTGCTTACTGATACCAATGTTAGTGACAAAATATACACTATTTAGAGCATATGAAGGTAATTGGGATTAACGATGATAAGGAACGCTGCACAATTTATTATAGATTATAGATTAGACTGCAGTTATTAACTCCAATAGGGCAGTTATGAAAGTTACAACTTTAACATACTATCTCACAAATAAAAAAACCGACAAATAACCACTCTTCTAGGAATTAGAGAGCCCAGTCTCTCTCAAACCACACCAAATGACAACCGGATTGTTGGTGCAAAGGTGAATAAATGATGAACAGAGGAAATATTCTATTAAGAGAATGACGGCTACACAACTCACTCAACATTACAATGATTGCAACCCTATTTATAAGTTAAAACTAGGGTTACTAGAATATGAATTACCCTCTAACAA